GTTCTCTTTTAATAAATAATCTACTTCCTTTATATAGCTAGTTGTTAACTGATCTGTTTTAAATGCCTAGGCTGGAAACACAGCATTATGTTGGTATATTTAACTGGCCAAATTCAAGGATAGTCAACTGTTTGTATAAACAAGGCTCCTTCTGAGATTTGTCTGGGATCTTGGTTGTATTTTATTTGTTGTGTTTGTCGTTGAAAATTGTAGCCAGGTAGGATGACACTACTCTTCTCTTCTGTTAAATCCTATGAAAGGTAGATTTTCCTGACCCCGTAAGGAATGATCGTAGTCAGATGGTAGCGTACAATTTAGCAGCGCAAATACCGATTAGAAATTTTTGCTTTGTTGTCCCACTCTGTATTTTGGGCAGATGGACAGTAGCTGTTGATTGGCATGTTTGAGACTAGAGCAGCAGGGTAAAGCAGGTGTGCTAGCTGAGCAGTGTGGGGACTCCTGTGTATCTTTGCCCTCTTACACATGGTTCTTCCAGTGTAGGCTGTTGGCATGAAAGAGCACGTATTTACAGAGAGCTGTGGAAAAGGAGATGGGGAACATAGAGCAGGGTGCATGGCGGGTGGTGATTCTTCAGGACTTGGCTTGCAAGGTCGATTTCAAATAATGAAATATTTGAAAGCTCCTGGAGCGGGTCCAAAGAAGGGCAACTAAACTGGTCAAGGGGCTGGAAAATGAAACTTATGAGGAGCAACTGAGGGAATTGGGGCTGTTTAGCCTAGAGAAGAGGAGGCTGAGGGGAGACCTGATTACGGCCTATAAATACTTGAGAAGGGATGGTGGGGAAGTGGGGGAAGGGCTCTTTACGTTAGTTATGGGTGATAGGACAAGAGGAAATGGGTATATGCTTAGTCAGGGGAGGTTCAGATTGGATGTTAGAAAGAATTTCTTCTCTGAAAGGGTTGTCAGCCACTGGAATAGGCTGCCCAGGGAGGTGGTTGAGTCCCCATCCCTGGATGTGTTTAAGAAAAGGGTGGATGAAGGGCTTAGGGATATGGTTTAATGGGGGATTAGGGACGGTTGGACTGGATGATCTCTAAGGTCTTTTCCAACCTAGAAATTCTATGAAATTCTATGAAAACCAGTAAATGAATGTTTAAATAATGATGTGGACTAATGAGGTCTACAAGGTCTTATTTTATGGGTTACATTTCCTTATTGCTGCTTGTTTAATTACCTTCCCTCGGTGATGGGGAGGGGATCTGCTCTCTGGGACTCTGAATTGGGTACATGACTTACTGTTCAGACTCAATAATTGAGTCTGTTTGTGCTATCTTGTTGCTTTTATTTGGCCGTTTATGGGAGTGGGTTCAATTAGCTTTGAAAAGCTCTTTTTCATGTAGACAGTTCATGTTTGTACTGGCCTTCTATTATGCAGCATCACCATTAGGTCAGCAAGGTAAAACAATGATACGGGTGTACCATGAAACATTAAAACATGTAGACTACTGGAATATGTCATTAGCTATCTTTTTAAAAAAAATGCAGCATGTTTAATGTCAGGGCTTCTGTGGGAGGCAAAGAAAAAGTGTTTCTTGAAGTGATCACGTGCAACCATGTTCTATTGGCATGTCTAAAATAGGTTAAAAAGCACATACTGTTCACTGATTCAAATTCTAAAATAATTCTTTTTCTTGAGACATACCCCTTTTAAATGCAGAGGCTGCTCCTGAACAGTAGAAGCCCAGTGAGTGACAAAATTTGATGATTCCACCCCATCCCAGCCTCTGTCCATGCCTCTGCGTTCGGGATCGCTGTAAGGGAAGGGCACAGTCCCGGTGCTGGCGCTTGGGGCACGCTCCTGCCTTGCAGAGCCAGCTGTGCATTACGACAGGTAGTGAGAGGGAGTGCCTGAGTGCAGAGACCTTTCTGGAGCCCAGAGCACTGTGCAGAGACTGGAGTATTTTGCTGGAGAGCCAGATGGGATCCAGCAGGCCTGTGCTGAGCCAAAGCTAATAACCTCTTGCTGGCCTCGTGCTGCTCTGTGTGTAGCTGTGGATGTGTACCAGCACGTACCCCTTCAGGCCTACCGCTCGAGAATCAGGGCTTCAGGAGTTAACTTAGAAATGCTGAGCTGCCCCTGGATACAAACGTGCTCCAGAAAGAGTTGCATTATTTCTGAGGTGTGCCAGTAAGTCCTCCTGGACCTGTGCTTCAGCACCGTACCTGGGGCTTGGTGTGTCCCCAAGCTGTCTGTGTGTAGGTGTAAAATTGAGAATAGGTTATAGTAGGGTGTTTTGTTATACTTTTTATTTCCTCTGCTTACAGTACCTATAGAGATCCCATTGGGGCTGTCTGCCCCCTCTAGTGTGTTAACTGTTTCTGTTGAATCTAGTTGCACTGTGTTGTTACTTCTTTTGGGATATATTGCAACAATATGTTTGGAACACAAGAAACTCTGATGAGATGTTAGGAGAATCCCCTTTGCATGGAGGGTGGTCAAATGCTGGAACAGGCTGCCCGGAGGGGTTGTGGAATATGTGTCCGTGGAGGTGTTCAAGACTCAGCTGGATGAGGCCCTGAGCAATCTGACCTAATTAGCCTTGCTTTAAGCTGAGGGTTAGAGTAGATTACCTCCCAATGTCCTCTCCTGTCTAAGTTACTCTCGTTCTGTGGTATTTTTAGCTCTTATTCCTGATTTCCGCCAAAGTGAAAAGTATTCCTCCATTTTGAGGGGCTGCATATGGATAGTTATAGATTCATATACTGAACATTTGTCTCACCAGGAGATCTAAAGAGTCTGACTCTTAATGCTGTGTTGATTTAACGTGCAGTAGTGGTAGACTTATCTGCTGTGTTTCTTTTAACATTTGTTTAATGCTATAAAAGCTAAAATGTCACCGAAGAGTTGTGTTATGGAGAACAGCATAATAAAGGATAAATGAAACTAAATTTCTCTTCTATAGTGTATTTTAAATGTCTCCTAAATCAGAACTGTCTCTGACTTAATTAGCTTGGGCTCCCATAAGTCAACTTTACTCTTGCTGGAATAGCTAGATGCAGCTTGAGAAGTGTGAAGTGAAACTCGCGTGGAAAGTAGACCTATTTAGAGGGGGAGGACAGAAAAATCGTTGTTCCCAAAGCAGCCAGAGCGTTTGGTAAAAAATGTGCTGAGTGGTAGGAGAGGAAGAAGCGTCCCAGTTTCCCACTAGCTGTATGTAAGACTATCACATGTCAGTAGGATAGATGATGAGACAGAGAGGATGGTGTGAAGAATGACACCTGGAGCAGTATTTGCTTAGGTTCTTGGCTGGGACCTCCTCACAGGGTGTGACTGGTGAGCCACGGGCAATCACATTAATGTCTGGCTCCTTTGGTCTTCTGTTCTGCTGCCTTACCTTTGGACTTGAAAGCTACTTAATGGAATAATTAAAAGTTGAGAGACTTTTGAGGAGGAAAGGCAAAAAGTTTAAGGAAGAGGAGGAAATACGTTACACAAGGTAATGGCTGTAGTACAATGAAGGGGAAGGAGAACTGAGTGATTCTGAAGACTGTGAGAAAAGACAGGAAAATGTGTTAAAGGGAAGAAGAGGCAGTAACCTCAAAGGAGAAGGAAGTTGAGACAAATAAGCTGGACAGCCATATCTAAGACCTCCAAGAACCTACTTACAGAAAGTAGACTGTCTTAGATGTCATGTTACAGTTAAAATAGTGCATATGGTAAGGAAGCATGTACTGCATTCCTCAGTTTACAGGTGGTTTGGCAAGCAGCTGTTATCACTCTGGCTAGTAGGTCTAGTGATTTGGTTGGTATATGGGAAGTATGTATGTGTTCGTATATATGGGGGGGTTATATACACACATATGTATTCATTTTTACATTCTTTTCTAAAGTATTTAATTTACTGGGAAACAAGTGCAGCTGGAAATAGCAATGATGTGCAGATGTGATTGCAGAGGCAAATTGCTGTTACAGCTTTGGATGGACACTGCTGAAGATGTTGAAATGACCTAATAATAACCACATGTAGCATAAGAGATGGTGTATGTGAACTGATACTTCTTCATGAGTCATTTCCTGCAGAAAGCGTTATGCAAAGCTAACTGCTAGAGGGGGTGTATGTATGGGATTATATGTACAACCAAGAGCAGACTGTGCTTTTTTCCAAGGTTCTTTATGTGACTCTGCTGGTTTGGAGTGCAAACATGATGATCGGTATTCTGCTTATAAACAATGCTCAGATTTAGATATTGGCTATTTAAAATTGCGATGGCCCTCTGGGCTTGCACTCTGGTGTGTCTTCCCTCAAGACTGACTATAAAGTAGGTCACACGTTGTCAAAAATTCCTTGAACAGAGGAACTATTTGCTGCTCTAAATTGTGCTTTAAAATTTAATGTTTTAACAGTTGCTTAAATAAAAGAAGAAAATAACCAAAATGAAACAAACCACTAGATGAATAAATGTCTCAGAGACAGCTTGTGTGCAGCCGCTGTGTGCCTACTTGACTTGGTAGTCTGTCTTTTGATAACTGAAAGCTGCTGGTAACAGTGAAACATAACGAGTTACTTTAGATATCAGTGTTAATGATTTCATTGCTGGCTTTATTTTATCACCTAGGCCATGTGGTTTGTGCATAGTTGGAAATGACTGTATTTCACTGGCCAAATCTTCAGCTGGTTTCTGTCCTAAAATTTGTTCATCTCTCTGTATTTAAATGCTTGCAATACAAAATTCTGCTGTGACTTAGGAATCAGTTCCAGGATACAAATCGTATGATAAATGCCTTGTTAAAGTTGGTGCAAGAACAGTTGAAGAGTCGTGTTTTTAAATAGTAAAAATGTATTTACTGAAACTTTTTGAGAAGCTTCCACCTAACAAAAAGATTTTAATAAAAAAAAAAAATACCCCAAAACATTGGCACAGAATCTGGCTCAAACCTGAGCTATGAAGTATAGGATTCAGTTTTCATCTTGAACTATTTTGTTGTTGACTTCTGTACTGTATCTGTAATGACAGACTTCTGGCTTCCTTCTTTGTAGGCTCAGATTATTCCTCAGTGGGATGGTTACCTGGTACTGAATCCCTGTGGCAGTCCGCAGCCATTTCATCAAGCAGTCAAAGCAATCCTGTCAGAAGACACAGTATAGCTTCCGACAGCGGAGACACTGGGATTGGTACCTCCTGTTCTGATAGTGTGGAAGGTGAGTTGACGCTTAAGTTTTGGATGTTTCTGAGAGAAACAATCCAAAATGTTTTAAAGGTATGTTTCCCAAAATAATGATACTTTTCCAAAGCTGTTGAGCACATGTGTTTCTTTGTTTTCTTGGCTGGACCAAGTAATTGTTTTGGTGAGGTTTAATTAATTTACTTCTGCATGAGTTGTGTGCATTAACTTATGTCTGTGCCACAAAGCCAGTACTTGTGTTAGGTCTTCTGATAATTGCAGTTACAAGAAGTGCCAGATTTATACAGAGGAGCAATATCCTGTGCTACAGTGCTTGATAAACAAGTGGTAAGAGCAGAAAAACCTTTGAGGGAGTCAGTGAAAGGGCAGTGCTTTTCGGTATTCATTGTGTGTGTCAGTGAAGAAAGCTTACTCATTGGGGCTGGAGGAAAATGGGGCATGTTGTCTTCTCATTTCTTCTAGTGGGAAATATGTTTACATTTTATTGCATGGCATTTGACCTGTAGTCAAAGATCTTTAAGGAAAATCAACAGCATCGGATAATAATCTGATAATCAACAGTGTATTTTTAAGATTTTAAAAGTTTGGACTAAATCATGATTACTAAAAGTTGATCTTATCAGGGAGGCATTCAGCCTCTAAGCTATTAGCATCTCTGTAACATTGGCACCCTCCTTGTGGAATGTGTCACTGGAATTAAGCCTGAATGTGAGAAAGACTAGGCAGTCATAAGGCTTGAGTTTTTCTTCTTGCACAGCCTTGTTTCCCAGTAAGATTTTCAAGACTAAGGTAATGACAGCAGGACTGTGATATACTTTTCTCCAGTGCCTTTCTATGCCTGGTAAATTTTGCAAAAGAAGTAGCTGAAATGAGGAGAAACGGGAAGAATTAGTAGAAATGAAGTAAGGAATGATGAATCAAATGTAAGAGACAGAAGTCTCTGTAGGGGGCTGAGCATTCCTGAGGAGAGGTCCGAATGCCTGAGTTAAGTCTGTCAGGCCTCTTTGCACATGAGGAAATCCTTTCCAGTCTCTTCCTGTTGCATCTGTCAGTTGGAAAGGAACTCGATAGGAGAGTCCTTATAGCTTTCTTTCTGCTTGCTTTCATTTCTAAACCTTTATTGGCTTTGGCAAAATAAAGGTTTCACTCAAATACTCATTCTTGGGTATAAAACTTGAAATAGTAAATGGTTATTAATGCAGAAGCCGTACTGGTTTTTCTTTTTTTTTTTTTTTTCTTTTTCTTAAAAGAGATGTAAGGGGAATAAGGCTCCCTCATACTGTGTATATATATAGATTTACGATCAGACTCACCCAAGTGTTGCACAACAGTATTTTAAGATGCAGCATTTGAATTAAAAACATGCTCTCCCCTCCCCGCCCCCCTCCCTTTGAGGGCTTCCCCATTTGAGGAGTGGGAGGAAGGAAAGGAAATGGAATGGCACCTCCTCATCAGATGTTCTCCTGGCTGAACAGAACAGAGCAACTGTTCTTGGGGATTGTGGGGGAGGGATGGCACACGGATACAATCATAACTTTGGGTGGGCATTTGTTGCCAGTTAACTAACAACTCTGTCCGTTTGCATGCTTTTAATAGATCATTGCTATGAGCTGCTTTTGGGGTTTCTCAAAGTAAAACAGAGAAGGGAGAAGCTGCAACAACAGATAGTCATGAAGTTTGTGCCTCTGGCAATGCTTGACAGTGGTCAGTTCTACTGTATCCGAAATGTTATCAATTTCCCGCCGCCTTGTTTGAAAAATTTTTTTAGTAGCAGAAAAAAAATGTTAAAGAAAAAAGGAGGAAAACCTAAATGTAAAATGGAAGTTAATGGAACATATGACAGGTTTGGAAATCAAATGTATATGCAGGTTATCAGTGATAAGTGCTGTTGCCTGTGATACCTAGTTGTCTGCATCTCTCAAGCTGCCCCCTCCCAGCATCCACAAAAAGAAGAGAGTGTCATTGTGACCTGTGAGACTGCTGGGCCAGGCTGGTAATTGCAGACTTGATGCTGGCCATCTGCTCGCAATGTGCTGCTTGGGAAGAAGCCCTTGGGGATTTTTCAGAGGAGAATTTTTTTCGCAAGTCAGCAGATCATTACAATTTTTAGCCATGCTCAGAGAATGACATGTGGCCTTGCTATTTCCTTTCTATTATGCCTACTAACAATCAAAAACTCAATTTCAGAATTAAAATCTGCTTTAATTCTGGAAGTTGCAGGTGAATTCATTTGTACAGATATGTAGTTACTAGTAAATACGTGTGTGCAGGGAATGGAGCTCAGATGCATTTAAAATCTGTTTTTACTGTTTTTCCTTGCATCTTAAACATTCTTTCAATTTCATCTTTACTTATACTTCATTTCAGAAGCACTTATTCTTTTTGAAAAATATGGGATTTAAAGAATAGTGCCAAGTAGCTCTTGTGTTAGTTCATTGTTTGGAGAAGAGGTGGATTTTTGACTAAGATGAGGAAGAAAAATATTGTATGTTAAAATGTATTCAGTTGATTGTATATTACGTTATGCAAAGATAGGACAATTGGGAAATGAAATAACTAGTGGTGTTTCATTGTTGAGCAATGTTGATGTGCACTGGGGGAAGCTGAGGAGAGAAATTTAGAAACTGTAAATGTGGGGATGTTGTTTTGGGTAGAACAGATCTAAAATTTTTATTTCGGAGTGCCCTTAATTTAAAGATAAAAAAGCATTTTATCTTTGTCTAAACTGCAGTTAATGTGGTTAGTTTTTTTGTTTATTTCCTGTCAGTAAGTGGTTCTGGACTCAGATCAGCTTTTGAGCATGATAAAAATAATTACTGTATTCTGTATGCAGCAGGAGGAAAAGATTTTGATACTTTTTTTTTAGATTCTTTTCTTTAAACTTACCTCTGTTTGTAAGTCAACTCTGTTATTACTGTTTTCAACTTACCCTCTACAGATCTGACTGAATAGTTTACTCTTGGGCATTGATTGAAACTAGTCTTCTCAAAAATCTCATATTCTCTGTTAAGAAATGTAGTGAAATGCAGACTCCTATGAAACCGTTGAAAAATTCCTGCATTTCTGATAGAGTAGGAGGCTGTGTTCAGGATGAATTGTGTGGAAGAAAAGATTTTAGTTGGTGACCAACAGCTGATCAGCTGTCAGTGAAGACTCTGAATGGTCTTGTTCCTGTTTTCCTTCTCACTGGCAACTCTGAAATTGGTAGACATAACATTTGTGGCTTGTGCTTATAGGCACAAAAGATACCTCTCAACATCTAACAGCTATGCTGTGTGTGGGTCTGTAGATTGAGGTTGTCTCTTAAACTGCAGACTTTGACCAAAAGATTGTTGTTACTATTTTGGAAGTGAATCTAAAAGAGGAACCAAGGTTAAGGGGAGGTGGATGGTAGAAAAAAGCCTCTCCTGTAATGAAAAGGTTCAGGTATAAAGTTCTGAAAACTTTCAGTTACAGGATCTTGTGTCTTACCTTTGTGCAGCTCTGAAGTCTTTCAAATGGAAGCGGATTGTGGTAAACTTCTAAATTATGACTTCTCCAGTTCTCTGCTACTTTAGATGCATGGTCTGGATTAAAGTGCTTCTCTTAAAATTTATATCTGGTAGGAAAAAGGCGTAAGATACAGTATGGAAACGTGCAATGCATTCATGAAGCATGGTGTTTCCTATTCTCCATCAGCAATAATAGCATTTATACTTAGTTTTTTATCAGCATTGTGACAGTGCCAGTCATCCGTTGATCTCTGTATATCTGTTCTTTCAGTACCATGCCCATAAGAAACGTGAAGTCTGTATTTTAAGCATTTTTGAGACAGTTTTTATTTGCCTTATCTTAAGAGTGAGTCAGCCTTACCAGAAGATAAATGGGCTGTTAAGCCCAGCAAAGCTGTTTTACCCTGTGTACATTCTGAGTTTTGTCTTTCGGACAGGAGGGATAAGAACTGGATATTGATGTGACAAGATACAGAGCCCATGGCTCTTGCTGGCCAGAACATTTTCCTCCATCAGATAAGCTTGCTGTGCAATGGAAAGCTCCTTATAAAGTAGATATTTCTCCCTTACTATTAAATACGATTCTTGATTTACCATTTCTGCTTGCAAATTAATAGGCATGAAAACTCATAGAATGTTACTTTCCTGGAGGAGAGAGAGATTGGATGCAGAGGATCAGAGTTAGTACTTTTTTACTGGGGAGTTGATGATCTGCTAGTTTAACTTTTTTAAAAAATCTTCTCTTTTCAAATCACCCACCGACCCCACCTGCAGAAATGTTGATTTAAGATGGATGGGTAATTGTATCTTTCTTCATACAGAAATCTGAATAAGCGTATTTGTTCAGAATTTAAAATGCTGTTCTGTAGCTATGTATAGAGGTTGCTTTTGGGAGAGGAGTTTCACTGGTGGTGGTTCAGGGAGTATCGTGGACTACATGCAGCATCCTTGATCTGTTGTCACTGTGTTGTGTGTAGATGTGAATTCTCTGGAATACTTAACTGATAGAATAGGAACTGGCTTTAATGTTACGAGATCCAGGGATGTCTCTTGTCTCTCATTTTGAACTGAATATGTTACCTTTTCAACGGATTAAAAAAATCTAATTAGTTCATTTAATTGTAGTGTTTCTTGATACGCCAGGGAACATGGTACAGCCAACTCCAAAGTTACTTGATTTTGCTATTTCAAGCTCTTTTTTTTTTTTTCCAGCAGGTCCTGAGCACGGTATTCTAACACTCTCTGTTTGTTTTTTTTTTTTCTTTTTCCTGAAGAAGAAAACAGTTAATAAATATAGCTATTGAATATACTAAAAGACAGAGTTGGATTTCAAGAGACAAAATCTAATTATGAATATCTTGGGGAGGTTGTTCTGTTTAGTTTAGCATTCTGCTAAAGATATTAGGATTGAGAATGTGTACAGGTCAAATACTAATTTGTGTTATCAGTTTTGATGTCAGGAAGGTGCAGTAGCACAAAGATCCTAGATCTTGAGAGCTGTCAGTGTACTGTGTGCTCATGGTCT